CTTCAGACCTAGCAACCCTCCAGAGTTGACTAACCCTAACCCTATTGCAGCCAGGAAAAGGTTAGTGTATATATGGTAAAAATTGAGCGGTGGGGAGGGGGAAGGAGTAAACGATAAGTGGAGATGGAACCAAGAGAGAGAGAAAAACAGTTAGGCCGACAAAGTCAGGTAAAGGTCAGTCTGGGAGAATGAATAGCTGCTAATGGGGACCATTTGTGGCTGACAATGGATCGAGAAATTATTGGGTGAAAAGGAATTTTTGGCTTTACAAATAGAAACACATGTACTAAGAAAGAAAGTTATGAAACTTAGGTTTGACCCAAGCTGAAATATTGTCTAATTCTGAGCACTGTCCTTTAGAGAGATGCTGGAACTATTTACAAGAATGGCTCAGGGGATGAGTAGCTTCAGTTAAGTAGACAGATTGGAAAAGTTAAGCTTATTCTTGGAAAAGAAAAGGCTGAAGGGAGATCTCAGTTGTCCCCTTTGACAGGGTGAACCGGTCAGAAACATTTTAATGTGATTGGCAATTGAACCAAAAACAATACTGTGAGGCATGTTTTCTGACCAATGTCTTTGGGGTCTGTAGTGCACAGTGCGTATGCACACGCACTTGTGCCCTTCAAAAAAAAAATTGTCAACTGCAGAGTATTCAATGTTATTGTTGGGAAACTTGGGTTCTAACATGGACATAACCATGTATAGCTTTAATTTGAGAGAGATAGTAGGAACTGCCAATGCTGGAGAATCTGAGATAACAGTGTAGAGCTGGATGAACACAGCAGGCCAAGCCGCATCAGAGGAGCAGGAAAGCTGACGTTTCGGGTTGAGACCCGAGTTGTTTTTGTATATAGTGAGTTAAGTAAGAAAGAAAGGACTTGGTTTCATTTCTGAGTTCTGAGAATAGCAATAGTGTCTGGAAATGTATTTACATGCTTTTTCTAAAAGAAAGTGAATGATCCAGTGTTTTAGAAAACAGGGCGGAAGAGAGAAGTAGGAAGATCTGATTAAATTGGAGAGAGTTTGGCAAAGATTTACCAGGATCTTGCTGGGACTGAAGAGTGAGAGTTATAGGAGAGGCTGGATAGGCTGGGACTTTTTTCACTGGAACATAGGTGGTTGAGGGGTGACCTTAGAGGTTTATAAAATCATGAGGGGTAGGGGAATTCAGAACTACTGACCGTATTTTTAAAGTGAGAGGAGAAAGATTTAAAAGGGACCTGAGGGGCAGCTATTCTTTTTCCACGCACGGGTGGTTCACATGTAGAATGAACTGCCAGAGGAAGTGGTAGAATCAGATACAGTTACATTTAAAATACATTTGGAAAGGTACATAAATAGGAAAGGTTTAGAGGGATGTGGGCCAAACGCAGGCAAGTGGAATTAGTTTAGTTTGGGAAACTTGGTCAACATGGACGAGTTGGAACGAAGGGTCTGCATGACTGAGGGGGAAGAATGGTCTGTCTGCCAAGTTTTCTGGTGAGACAAGGAGACAAAGTGCTTTCCTTTTAGAAGGTGTAAACCATCTAGCCGATCAGTGCGTGTGCAGTTTTCTTTCAGATAGAAGTAGGTCATTGAGGGAGAAAGCATTACAGCAGACTGGGCAGGAGAAAAGAAGTTTTGAATGGTTCAATGTGAGTAAGAGAAATCTACAGAAATACCAGGCTGTGTAAGAGGAGTTTAAAGAACTCTTGCTTAGAATTGTGAGCTCCAAAAGCAGTCTGAGGGCCGATATGAAAAGATGTTAAAGAAGATAGCATTGGGTGAATAGACATTTGCTGGAAAAATAAACAAGTTTATCTGTGCAATCCAAACAGTAATTTAATTGGTAAAAGGTTGAGCCTTTATTGAAGCTTGAGTATATGTCAGGTTTAATTTTTAGTTCTCCGATTGGTAATAAGACCTCAACTAGTTAAATAGTTGTGCTTTTATTCCCTCTTTTTTTGTGTGTGTGTTTTCAGAGAGAGAATGAGAAACTTTTTAAAATCTTCATTAAGTGTCCTTTGGCAGGTTCTAGTGAATAGGTTCAGTGACTGATCACCACAATAACCAAATTGCAAAATTAAGACTTGTGGTCTATCAAATGAGGTTTCACTTTGCGATCTGGTATTGCAATCCAGTATTATTTTCAGTTGAGATCATAACAATACACATCTGAAGAGAAAATTTTGCAGGGCTCGCAGAGGTGGGGTTGCAGGGAGGGAGTGTGAACTAACTATATTGATTTGGAGAGAGCTGGCATAGACTTAGGAAAGCAAGTGGTCTCCCAGTGTGCTGTAATTATGATCCTGTACGTCTTGCTAGTACTATACACGCGTGTGGTGCCTTTTTGAAGAAGTAGTTGAGTAATTGATATTGAGGAGAAATATGTATATTTTGTACTTGTCTGACAACGTCCATTACAATTTTCATATCTTGGATGACTTTTGAATGGTTAAGGGTTTTGGATTCTTTTCTAAAGGAGAAATTTGAGTGAAGAAAATCACATTACACAACTGTTTAAAAGTTAGATACTTTTAATTTGAAAGCAGCATTCAGTGTTCTTTCTGAATTGGCCAACTTTGTTTATACTTGTTCGGAACACATCAATATTTTAGTATGAGCAACTGGAATATGAAACTGTTTGGATATGTTGGATTTAAATGGTTTATCAAAGTTTTGAAGGGACATTTGACTTCTTGGACTAGTTAACAGTATTGTGAGCTGTGACTTGCCTACCATTTACTGAAAAGATATGTAACTTTGGAAAGGAGACATCGAAAGCTTTCAAGAAATAAGAGATGAAGTTTGTGACTTTAATTATTGCATAAACTTGGTTTGGAAGGGATGGGGGCCTGTATGCTGAAGGTTGCATTAGCAACTCCGTTCTGGAGTTCGTTCTTGTTTCTTCAGAACACCTGCACATGAGTAAAGAAAAATTTTGCAAATGGTGCAGGAGGCCGTTCTTCCTGTCTGTTTCGTAGAAATATATCAACCAACTCAGTACTCTCTTCCAGTGTTCTCCCCGTACCCTATGGTCCCTTTAGTTCTACGAATTTTACATACGTTTTTCTTGAAAGTCGTAAATATTTTGGCCGGAACCATTTCCTGTGGCAGAGAATTCCATTGGCTTACTGGTGTCTGGATGAAGATATTTCTCCTCATCTCTAACCTAAAAGGCCTACCCCTTATCCTTAAATTGTGACCCCTAGTTTTGAGCTCCCAGGTTATTGGGAACATCATTTCTACAGTATTATTCTGGCTAATGCCATTTAGAATTGTATAGGTTTCTGAGATTCCTCACCTCATTCTTCTTAACCGTACTGAATATAGTCATAGATAACAAGATGTAGAGCTGGATGAACACAGCAGGCCAAGCAGCATCATAGGAGCACGAAGGCTGACGTTTCGGGCCTAGACCCTTCATCAGAAAT